AAATATTCACTAGTTCGTTTGGACATTAACTGTACATATCTTGTGAATGTTCTGAGTTAAATATTTAACTCAGATAACTCAGATAATTTGCTTGTCGCATATGCGACAAGCAAATTATCACCGATTAGAAAAACAGGAACTTCCATCAGTTCACCTGAAAGATGTGAATTTTTAGAAAATGAGTACTGTTAAAATTCACATTTAGGTTCAAATTATAAGACAGTCAAGTATGCTGACATTGGCCTACCTTTAGAAGGCACTCTACACCAAATATGATTTTGACTGAACTCAAGGAAAGTCCGGCGCCGGAAAGCAGACGAAGATTTATTTCCAAAGCTTTCGACCTTCGAAGTCCGGTGGCTTTCGGAGGGAAAAGTAAAACTTTTTCTTGTATATCAACAGACACCTGGCCGGTCAGCGCAGGAACGCGATATCCAAATACTGTGTCTCTGGCACCAAACGCTAGTACTTCTCGCTGCTTTCCCCCGCCTCTTGTGTGTTCTAAGGTTGATACTAGAAGTATATTGTTTGTTTCCACTTTTGCTTGTATTATATCACAGTTCACCGCATTGACACGAACCCAATTAACTTAAGAGTGACGTTACAAACTTGTGCCAAAATGGAGTTACTGTTTCCATATCCCAACAAAATAAGTGGAACTAGCACAAAAACGGCATTGCATATAAAGGAGAATGCAGCTGGTCGTGAGAAAAACTCGCTTCTGAATGTGCAGAAAATTGCACGGTGAAAAATCTCAACCATTGCACATGAAACAAGGTTACTAGGTCCAACTAACTTTAACCCATATAAAGTAGTTGATGTTTAAAGTTCAAGTTCGGAGAGACTGGGACTATTCAAGAGTACGTGAAAATCCAAATGTTAGTGGTTTGTTGCAAAAATAGACGCTTCGGAGAAGGAAAAATTTGACGCCGAAAAGATAAGCAGTAGGCTTAAAATGAATGGGATTGACTGCTATCTGACCATTAAATAGTAGCGGAGGGAGTGCCCAACAAAGTGCGAGCGCCCGAGCGGACAAGTT